AAAAAAAAAAAAGAGTTCTGAGAGCAGCCCGTCACCCGCCTATAATCCCAGCGGCTTGGGAGGCTGAGACAGGAGAATCTCAAGTTCAAAGCCACCCTCAGCAACTGCAAGGCACTAAGCAACTCAGTGAGACCCTGTCTCTAAATAAAAGAGAGATCTGAGAGGAGCTTGGCACCTTTTTTCTTCTAATTTTTTCCCCCTGAAATCCTTTTTCCAATAGCAAATTGAAGAAGTCCGACAGGTAGGATCATATAAAAAGGGAACAATGACTACAGGACACAACGTAGCTGACCTGGTGGTAATACTAAAGATTCTGCCAACATGTGAGTATACCTCTTTTTCTCTCTTTTCTGGTGCTAGGTGTCAAACCCAGGCCCCTGAGCTTGGCAGGCGAGTGCTCTACTGCTGGGCTACATCCCTTAGCCCCCAGTTCATCTTTCTGACCGAGGAAAACAATGTAATAGTTTGATTTGGGGCCTAGGGATTTTTAAAGGAGAGAGAGAGAGAGAGATAGAGAGATGTGTGTGTGTGTGGAACATAAATAGGAAATTTAATTTTTTAAGTTACTGGATTATAAGGGACTGTTAGGTCAGCTTATTGTCACTGTGATGAAAATACTTGATAAGAACAACTTAGTGGAGGAAAAGTGTGAGGCTTTCAGTTTCAGAGATTTGAGTCTATGGTTGGCCTATTCCATTGTTCTGGCCTGAGGTGAGGCCAAATATGATGGAAGGGTATGGGAGGAAAAAGCTATTAGCCCATGGCTGCTGGGAAGCAGAGACAGCAGTGAGGGACAAGATAAAGTCCAAAGCAGATCCTCAGTGACCTACTTCCTCTAGCCATGCCTCACATACCTAGTTATCACTCAGAAGTCCATTTAGATTATAATCCATCAAATGAATTAGTCTACTGACAAAGCTTCAGCTCTCATAATCCAATCGTTCCACCTCTCACCATTCTTGCATTGCCTAACACATGAGCTTTTTGGGAGATACCTCATATCCAAACCATAAAAAGACAGACTCTGTAATGTGTGTCTGAAAGAATGTATGCCCAGTACTCTGGGACTGTGTTTCTCTCTTGGATATTTTGCTCCTAAGGGAATTATTAGCACTGCCTAGAGATGTTTTTGGTTGTCACAGCTAAGGGATACTCCTGGCATCAAAAGGGGCTAAAGGCTGGGAATGGTGCTAAACATCCTACAGTGCACAGGATTAACCAATCCAGATATTATAAGTGCCACTGACCTGAAAAACTCAGCTTTAGCTCAGTGGCAGAGTACCTGCCTAGCACTTGTGAGGCACTGGGTTTGATCCTTAGCATTGCGTAGAAAAATAAACAAAAATAGATAAATGCATGGCATGCTGTCCATCTACCACTACAAAAGAAAAAAAAAATTTAAGTTATTAAAAAAATCTAACGATTTTAGTATGGAAAAAAGATGTGAGTATAGGAAGTGTCCTATTCCTGAACCTTCCAGTTTCTGTGTCTAGGACTTAGCTTTCCTTTGTAAAAGTATTCTGTTACACTTGTTCCACACTTGAATGTGGGGCAGAAATTATGGTACTAAGTATCTCAGAGATATATAGGAAGTCTACATAAATAGATGATTTATAATGGTATTTTTTCTCCCTCAATCTAGTGGAAGCTGTTGCTGCCCTGGGGAACAAAGTCGTGGAAAGTTTAAGAGCACAGGATCCATCTGAAGGTTTGAATTTATTGCTTAATATATATTGAGTGGCAGTAGGAGCCAGGTCCTGTAATCATACTTTCAACAAAATTAGGTCAGACTAGATTGAGTAAATGCAGTTTCATGTTGTAGGAGTTTTTGGAAGGGGTTTGAAATTCCATTTTATCTCCTTTCTAAAGCTCTGTATTTTGAATCCTTAGTCTGAACTCTGGTTTTTAAATGCCCACCTGTTTCCCACAGGAATGATTTAACTTTGATCATCTAATGAAAATGTGAATTACAACTTTTGATTATTTTGTTCTTTTAGTTTTGACCATGCTGACCAATGAAACTGGTTTTGAAATCAGTTCTTCTGATGCTACAGTGAAGATTCTCATTACGACAGTGCCACCCAATCTCCGAAAACTGGACCCGGAACTCCACTGTTAGTCCTTTTTTCCATTGCTGAAAAGTGTGGGGGAAATAAAATGCATGGTATCTTTGCTGAGTTTTTTTATTTCATAGGAAGCTTTCTGGAAATTGAAGGACTTAAGTTTACCCTGTACTTTGGAAATAACTTTACAAGCTTCCTAGTGAAATTTTCAAAGATAGGATAGCCAGGAAGAAAATTTGGAACAATTAAAAAGGATGGTGGAAATATTTGTGAAGAAAGGAGGATAGATTTTTGGAGAATATCAGATCTTGCATGCTTCTAGATTTAGTTTGGAATAGGTGTAATAATTTTGGAATAAGTGACTTGCTGATCTGAGGAACATGAGATGGTTTAACAAAATTGTTAAAAATTAGCTTGCTTCTCCTTCTAAGTTTCTGAACCATGGTGGTGGCAGGACTGGATTGCTTGCTTAATACCAGGATTGTTTCACGTTGGTCTGTCATGCTTTATCTAGTGGATATCAAGGTGTTGCAGAGTGCTTTAGCAGCCATCCGACATGCCCGCTGGTTCGAGGAAAATGCTTCTCAGTCCACGTGAGTCGGTCTCTGGTCATTTTCAGATAACCTTTCTAACTGAATAGCAGGATTTCCCCATACTTCCTCTGATAGAACTGTTTTGGCCATGATCTGTTGGATTTTCATTTTTACTTTAAGCAAATTAAGATTGAAAGAAGAGCACATGCGGTTTTATAAATAGTATAGTCAGCTTCAACTCTACCTCAGGTGTGGAAATGTGATCTTATTACCTTTTTTTGTGGGGTGGGCTACCAGGGATTGAATTCAGGGGCATTTGATACTAAGCCACATCCCCAGCCCTATTTTATATTTTATTTAGAGACAGGGTCTCACAGAGTTGCTTAGTACCTCGCTTTTTCTGAGGCTGGCTTTGAACTCTAGATCCTCCTGTCTCAGCCTCCAGAGTTAATGGGATTACAGGCGTGCACCATTTTGCCCAGCAGTGATGTTAACTACTTTTAATCCTTGGATCTCTTTTACATTCAGAGTTAAAGTTCTCATCAGACTGCTCAAGGACTTAAGGATTCGTTTTCCTGGCTTTGAGCCCCTCACACCCTGGATCCTTGACCTACTTGTAAGTAAACAAGGACAATAGGAATTCCTACGCATTCATATTGGTAGTACTTACTGTGAAACCTACCAGAATCTGAAATTCAGTAAAGCTTAAAAAGAAATTCAGTGGACAGGCGATCTAGTAGATTCAAAGTTTATTATTTCATTGGGTTCTGGGAGTATTTGATTAAATGAGTAGTTACTGAGTTACAGTGCCCCTTTTGTTTTTATTACTGTTATTTCATTATTGTGATACTGGAAAGAAATGAACAAATGAGGACCAATTTCAGAATTTCTTCTGGATGTGTTTTGGCTAGACTTTAATGACTTATTTTCCTTGTGATGATTTATTCAAGTTTAAATTTGCTTACCAGACTTACTCTTTTCTAGGGGCACTATGCTGTGATGAATAACCCCACCAGACAGCCTTTGGCCCTAAATGTGGCATACAGGTACCACATATTTCTTTTCAGTTTGGGATTGGTTATAAGGTGGTAGTGGGGGTGTGTTAATACTTCCCTATGTTTCAGGCGTTGCTTGCAGATTCTGGCTGCAGGACTGTTCCTTCCAGGATCAGTGGGTATCACTGACCCCTGTGAAAGTGGCAACTTCAGAGTACATACGGTCATGACCCTGGAACAGCAGGTATTGGGTCAGTTATGAAGTAGTCTATTCTGAGAGGACCTAGGGAACATGATCTTTAGGGATCAGGGTATCTGGGGATTTTCAAAGACTGTGGTCCTAAGATTAAAAAGTTATATGCATCTGTTTTCACAAGGGTGTGAGAGAAAGTACTGATTTTCTTTGCTAATTTACCCTCGCTTTGCTCTTCCTCAGGATATGGTCTGCTACACAGCTCAGACTCTGGTTCGAATCCTCTCACACGGTGGCTTTAGGAAGATCCTTGGCCAGGAGGGTGATGCCAGCTGTGAGTACTGTGTGTGTGGGTCAGGGGTTTCTTCTGGTGCTCAGCAGGCTTTGTGTGGTGCTGTGACATAACCCTGGGGCACTCCAAGGAGTTACGTCCCCAGCCCTTTCTTTTGAGACAGTCTTGCTGAAATTGCAGGGGGTTAGCCAGTGCATCCATCTTACTCAGATGACTTCATGTTTCTGCTTCGTTCTGCTTGTTTGCTGGGGTATTTGTTTGAAAGCACTTATTTTTTTTATTCTAGATCTTGCTTCTGAAATATCTACCTGGGATGGAGTGATAGTGACACCTTCAGAAAAGGCTTACGAGAAGCCACCTGAGAAGAAGGAAGGAGAGGAAGAGGAGGAGAATACAGAAGAACCACCTCAAGGAGAGGAAGAGGAAAGCATGGAAACTCAAGAGTGATCTTCCTTCCCTTCAGTCCCGTTCCTACTCAAGGGGAAGACCAGATCCTAAGCTATCTGCTACTGGGCTTTGTATGGTGCATTTCTGTGGAATAGAGGAGACATCAGGAAAGAAACTCTATAGAAAGATTTGTCATTCCATTGGTTTTGATACTGGCCTAGCAGCCCAAAATCTCCTGTTTATAAATCTATGCCATCCATCTATAATGAAGCAGGATACCAACATTTCTTCCTTATACTCCCAAATCCCAACTCCTAAACACCCCACTCAACCATTACTCTGTTGTTGAAATGTGAACTGTTAGGTGTTTGAACTTTTTTTTTTTTCTAAGAAAAACGATTAAAGTACTTCCTAGTAGGGCTCTTGGTTTTGTTTTTCCTTAGTAGGTGGTGGCCTCTTTTATTTACTCTTTTTCATTGGAAGTGATACTGAGTCATAAACACCAAGATCGCAACTTGAAACATCAGTAAATGAGAATACTGTTTAAGCATTTATTGAATCAAATGGTTCTAGCAGTACTGCTGTTGTATTCAAGCCAGTGCAATCAACAGAAGAGGGTGGACAGAGTTCATTCATCTTCTCTTTGTAAATCCTCGTGTAAACAAAAGGAAAAAGAGAAGTCACAGGTAGAGGACATGTTGCCTGGGTCCACTATAACCAGACATGTAACAAACGAAGCTCCAGCCTGATTGGCGAGGCCTGAAAAAGATGGGCGTTAACTATGTAGTTAAGAAAAAAAACCTCATTTCGTTCTTGGAAGGGAGCAAGAGCTGTAACGAAAGTTCCTCTGGGAACTTGAGTCTACTGCACGCAGGTTTCTTGGGTTCCCACGAAGTGAGAAAGTGCTTTAAATAAACCGTTTAGGTGTCCCAAAGTCTGCAGAAATTGTTCCCTGAATCTTCTCGTGTGTTGAAACAAGGCAGCGGGGTAACAACTATTTGTGCTGCTCAGTCCCCTGCCATCTTGTTACTTGCTTGGGGAACCAGGGGGATAAACTCCCGAGTCCAGCATTGCCCTCCTGCGGGCTGTTTCCTTGGCAACGCTGTGGTTTAGCCGCCTCAGCCGCTCCTACAGGACACAGGAAGAGGTGGAACCTAGTGACTGCCCCTGTGAAAGGCTTTGGGGTTCAGCCAGCCAGGTGCTGGAAACACCTGAGGACGGTCCTGCGTCAAAGTTCACGTAGGATGTCAATGGCTGCAAGTGGATATTGAGCACTGAGTCTTACTGACGCTAGTTGACCACTCCCTTCCCCCCAATTTTTAAAAAGTCGTGACTCATTGTGTTGAGGACTTGAAGCAGGGACTTCGTTTACCTGGGCATTCTGTAGGATGTTGTTGACCAGAACAACCCGTCGCCGGGCGTTGAGCAGCTTCTTAACGTAGGGGTCGAGATCCAAGGCCACCTTCTGGTCCTCGTTGATGCGGCACAATTCTGGGGACGGAAGAGCAACAGACGTCTGGCAGCTCACCTCCTGCTCTTAGGAAGGCGGAATCGTCCCGTCCTTCCCCCACTTCCTTTCACTCCCTGTCCCAAGGGCCCCGACGTCCTGGGGCCAAGGGGCAGAGACCCGGCCGGGCACGGGGAACCGAAGGTCCTGCCTGGGTCCGCGGGCCGCCCACTCACCCGCGGCGAGGTTGTCGATCTGCTCGCGGAGCTCCACCTGGCTCTCCCTGCAAAGGCCGCAAGGCCGCACGGTCAGCGCGCCCGCCGCCCACGTTTCCCCTGTACCGGGACCAGCCGGCCCCGCCTCCACGGCCCCGGAGCCTCCCCGGGCAGGCCGCCCCGCCCCGCCCGCCCCGCCGGCCCCCGGGCACCTGACGGCGTGGACGTGGGAGTCCAGCTGCTGCACAGCCGGGCGCAGGAACTCGAGGAGGCCCTCGGCAAAGAGGTCGCGGCCTGTGGGCCCGGCCACCGGGGTCCCAGCCCCGGACACTGCAGCAGAACCTGCACCCGCCATCCCGAACTCGGCCGGTGCCGGGAACCTGCCGCTAGGGCCGCCGGGAACTGGGGTTCTCCCAAGTGCGCCGCGAGGGGGCGCCGCGGAGTCGCGGCGGCCCGGGGGTTGCTGGGAAATGGAGTTCCCGGCGCGCGGCAGCTGCGCACCCGCGGGCCCCGGGAGCGGTGGTTCTGGGCGGGACTGGAGGGCGGGGTTTGCAGAGCTCCGGGTTCCAGGAGCGCGGCCGAGGAGCTGCTGATTTGGATTGAGCGCTCTTTGTTTTCCTCCCATGGAATGGAGAAAATAACTGCTGTTCTCCCCAGTGTTCAGAGCCCTCTTTCAAGAGGAAACCAGATGATACTCAGGGTATTGTTTTATATTTCTAAAGAGTATTTTAACGATATTTTTAGTGGAGATGCACACAATACCTTTTTCTTCTTTGTTTATTTTTATGTGTTGCCTGTGGGGATGGAACCCAGGCCTCGCGCTCGCTAGGGAAGAGCTCTACCGCGAGCCACAGCCCTGGCCCTGAAGAGTGCATTTTTAATGTCACTAAACATGTGCGAAACTTTATGTCCTTAAAAAAGAAGGGATTGATTAATGAGACTCTGACACCTGCTGAGACCTCGGTGAGCCTTGAGAAGGTTATGCTAAGCGGAATGAGCCAGGCAGAAAAGGACAGAGGGTGCCTGATTCCCTTAGTAGGGTGCCCGGCCTAAAGTGTACGACAGAGGCTGTGTGTAGCTCGGGACAGAGCCTTGCCTGACCCGTGGGGGCCCTGGGTTATCCCCAGCACCCAGTGTCCGCAGGGTCTGGAGGGAGAGGAGAAAGGGGGGTCATTGTCAATGGGTACAGAGTTCCAGTCTAGGAAGTTGAAAAGTCACAGAGATGGATGGTGGGGATGGTTGCACACCATGGGAATGGACTTCAGGTCGTGCACCTGTACATTTACAGGTAAATTTTTGTGCATATTTAACTACGATTACATTTTTTAAAAAATTACATGTGTTTCCATATTTTCATTTTTTTTTCCTCAGAAAAGGTCCCTTAGAAGGAAGGCAGGCAAAGTGCAGCATGCATGTGATCCTGGCGCTGTAATCCCAGGTTTGAGGCCAGCCTTGGCAACTTAGTGAGACCCTGTCCCAAAAAATGAAAAGAAAGTGGGGCTGGGGATGTGGCTCAAGCGGTAGCGGGCTTGCCTGGCATGCGTGGGGCGCTGGGTTCGAGCCTCAGCACCACATAGAAATAAAAAAAAAATAAAGATGTTGTTCCAACGAGAACTAGAACATAAATATTAAAAAAAAAAAAAAAGTTGCTCAGTGGTAAAGTGCCCCTGGATTCAATCCCTGGTGCCAAAAAAAAAAAAAAAAATGTCCCCTAGGACTGGCTCAGTGGTAGAGCCCTTGCCTAGCACATGCTCTAGCCCTGGGGTTTGATCCCCACCATGGAAAGTTTAAACAAAAAAGCCCAGGGGCTGGGGTTGTGGCTCAGCCTTAGAGCACTCACCTAGCACATGTGAGGCCCTGGGTTCAATCCTCAGCACCACATAAAAATAAATAAATAACATAAAGGTGTTATGTCCAACTACAAATTAAAAATTTTAAAAAAGCCCAAAGTTTATTTTGGTTTTTCATGGCTTTCCAGAGACTCTACATCTCTGCCCATTAAGGCCTAATGTATTCTAGGTGCTCACAATTCCCTAGGCTAGGGCAGAGACTGAGTGTAGAGAAACACTCCTGAAGGACAGAAAAAGGGGATCCCTAGAGCTATGGGGGCACAGAGTGCTCATATTCATCTCAGAAATACAGGAGGACAAGGCCCTGGAATGGCTATGGGAGGCTGGTGATGGGAAGGTGCCCCAGTTGAGACCCCCGTTGAGACCCCGTCTTTTTAAGTCTTGTGCACTTGTTATTGTTGACTGATTCCCTGCTCCCTTCTCTCTGGTGATTAAAGGTCAAACTCTCCTGAGAGGCTGGGGACTTATTTTGAAAGTCATCAGCAAGGAAGGGGATAGCTAGGAAAACTGCACCCTGCTTCCCAGCCAGCCCTTGGGAAGAGGCATCCATCCCAGAGGACACACCAGTGACAGTGTTGAGGAGGAAAGGGGAAAAGTCCAAGTCCCTGAGGCCTGACTGGAAAGAGAGAGCAGGAGCTGGCCTGGCCCTGGAGCTTGGTGGACCCGTGTGTGGACAAGGAATCTCCAGAAAATAGATGAAACAGAAAACCTGCAACACGAAGTGAGTTAGAATTCCAGATAAACGAGAAATGACATTCTAGCGAAAGTATTTTATCAGGTGATCCTACTTCAAAAGCCGGGTCTCTGAGGGAACCACTGCTTTCTTCTTTCACTCCTTATCACCTGGAGTGAGCTGTCTGCTCTCCCTCCTGTTGCAACAGCTGCTGTCTGGCCTTCTGGCCTCTGGTCTCTCCCTCCTGGAGCTTGTTGGCACTCTAAAGTGTCCGTCAATGCCATGATACCTTGCTGCGGCTGAAAGGAGTTTTAGAAACCATCTCTTGTTGGTTCCTTGGATGCTTGTGAAGGTAGACTTCAAAGGTGGGTTGCCAGATTTAGAAAACAGATCAAACAAAATACCTGGGGAACCAATGAATTTCAGTTGCTGATAAACAGTAAGTAACTTTTTAGTGAAGTATTTTATCGGGTAATCCTACTTCCAAAACTGGGTCTCTGGGGAAAACGGCTGGGCCTTCTTCTTGTGCTCTCCTTTTTTACTCCTTATCACCGTGGATTAAACATTCTCTCTCATGAACCTGCTGCGATAGTTCCTGCCTGATCTTCTGGCCTCTACTTTCTCCCCTCCTGGTCCATTTGGACTCTAAAATACAGCCAGATGACACAAGACATAATACTATGCTCAGGGCAAATTAATGCCAAAAAAGATTTTATACTCCATCCCTTGTTGGTTCCTTGGATGTTTGTGTGGGAGACAGGGCAAGGCTTTCATAGACGACCTGAGGTCTGACAGTAGGCTGGAGGCCCGAGCTAGTTCAGTTGTTCATTCTCCAAGCACTTATCAAAGTCCAGGCATCATGGCTCCCTGAGGGATGCAGCACAAAAGCCCTCTTCTCCCTGCTGGTTCTTGTGTGATAGAAGCAAAGGTGACTCCATTTTGTTTTATGACTCCATCCTGTAAAACAACCAGGCCAAGTAGAAGGGTCTTGACTGGGGCAAGATATTCTTTTCCTTTTGCTACAGAAACCTTTAAGAACACAGAACTACCTAATGGGACATTGTTTCTGTAACTAGGGTAACGGGGCTCTGTTTCTGTAACTGGGGTGACTGGGCTAACTGTGATTGGTTAGGCTTCCCTCCGCTTGACTGCACTGTCCCGCTTCTGTAACCTGGCTGGCTTGCATTGGCTGGACCCCCCCCCCCCAACATCCCTTTTGCGGTTTTCAGGGTTATAAGGAGTGCCCTTGCAATTGTTCGGGACTGATCAGGGGAACAGCTTTATGTTGTGGTCAGCCACCACCGGTGTGCTTCAATAAAGGCTTGATTCGATTATACGTGAGTGGTCTGGAAGTCAGTTTATGAAACCCCGGGACGAAGCTTTAACTGTAACATCTGGGGGCTCGTCCGGGATCCATTTCTTCCCTACCCTCACGCCAAATTTGCCTCCAATGATGGGCCTTTGGACCTCGGCCCCGGAGTAGAGGGGAGCTCCTGAGAGACGTTCCTCAGCCTCACTCTGAGGACGACTCCTCCTGTCGGCTGCCAGTTCTGGTGAGTCCCCTCTTCTGGGGAAAAGGTCAGATTGGACACAGTGGCTTACACCTTTCCAGGGACAGGACGAGACGTCACTGCCTCCCTGGAGATCTCCCTGTGTGACCTCATCTGTCTGTATCTGTCTGGGGGCAGGACAAGACATAGTCTCTGCCCCAGTAGAGGTCTCCCTGTGTGACCTCAGCGATTGTTCCTTGTCCTGTGTCTGTTCTGCTGTTTGTCGTTTGTTCCGTGTCTGTTCGCTGGCCGTTTGTCTTGTGTTTGTCTGTCCCTGTGTTGTGCTCGGGCCCTTTTCTTGTTCCCATAACCGCTCTTCTTTTCAGGACTCCTTCGCTTCACCGACATCAGAGACAAGGAAGGGCTACAGAGATCTCTACCTGGACCCCTTTAACTTGTTTTCTTAACAATTTTCAGGACTCTGTCTGTTGGTTTGTTTTTGATTGTTCCCTTTGTGTTCTGTATTAATTTCTACCTCAGTTTGTTTCTAATGGAAAAAAAATGGTTAAAAGGGTCTTAACTGTGCTCACTACAGCTTGCATTAAAATGTAAAGTGCTGCCAACAGGACTGAAAGAATTGTCAAAAGTAAAAGCTAAAGGTAAAAAGAAAAAGGCATTCTAGAGATTGCCTTCATTTAGGAGCTGGGCCAGGTGGCCAACTGGGTAAATCATGTCACTTCCTATAGAGGACAGATTAAAACTAAAGTGTTTTATAAAATTATTATTCCTAAATTGTATAACAAAAAACATAATTTTGCCTAGAAAATTTGGCTTTTGTCTCTCAGTATTTGCAAGCATGAATAACTCCCAACTATTAAAAAATGGTCCAAAGATTTTTCAATATCAGGCTAAAAGTTGGTGGCCACTATCCAACAAACCAGAAAAACCAGTTTAAAATGGGACCCCAACCTGGAGGACTCTCCTAAGGAGACCAATGAAGCTGAGTCTTGGGGACATTCCTCCAGGGAAAAATCAGCCCCTTTTGTTTGTCTGTGTTCCCTCAACTCTTTTCAGCTTTCATGAACAGGACCACCTCAGGAAAAAGGTTCAAAAACTTTTAAAATTCTATATTTGTTAAATTCATAATTTTGATCCAATACACCTAGATTAATATGTTTTTCTGATTACGCTCTGCTTTATTCTAAGGCAAATTTACAAAGGTTAACTCTCAATCTAATAGGTTTTTAAGAAATAAGCTACAAGGCTTTTGTGTGTCTGTTTGCTTTGTGTGGGTGCACTGGTGTACTGTCTGTCAACATTATTGCCATGTCTCTATATATTTGGTACAAAAAATTGACATATGAGCTCATAAATTATAATTTTTAAAGAATGGATCCAAAT